GGAAGATGGGCACGGATGTTAGCTCAGGGCCAGTCTTCCTCAGCAAAAAGAGGAGGATTGGCATGCATATTAACTCAGGGCTGATCTTCTTCACAAAAAAAAAAAAAAAAATAAGGGCACTTTATATTCTAGAACTGCCCCCTCACAGTAAAGACCTCTGGGCATACGCTGAAAGGGAAGGAGGCCCTTCTGTCCCCCTGTCCTCACCTGCTAACTCAAATGTTTTCATCCTGAAAAGTGAGTGGCTTCTAGCAGGGGGCCTTGGGCAAGGGTTTAACCTCTCAAAGTCTCAGCAACTTTGTCTCTGAAGGGGGATAAAAACACCTGTGTCCCAGGGCTGCCGAGAGGATGAAATGGGACAGTGTGTGCAAGTGCTCAGAAAGTGCTGAAACCTTACACTGACATCGCAGTCTGACTTTCATGAAGTCCTCGTGTGAAGCGGAGGAATGACACAGAGTTTTCTTTCTAAACAGCTGGACTCTGTGACACACCACACTTCAGCATAGAGAGCTTACTTTCTGAGGGGGGAAAACAAAACCAAGTGGCCTGAGTTAATACAAGGCACCAACAACTGAAAAGCATCTTTTAAAAATAGCCTTTTTTTTTTTTTAAAGATTTTATTTATTTATTTATTTTCCCCCAAAGCCATAGTAGATAGTTGTATGTCACAGTTGCACATCCTTCTAGTTGCTGTATGTGGGATGTGGCCTCAGCATGGCCAGAGAAGCGGTACGTCAGTGCACGCCCGGGATCCGAACCCCGGCCGCCAGCAGCTGAGCGCACACACTTAACTGCCAAGCCACGGGGCCGGCCCTAGCCTTTTTTTTAAATTACAGTTTTCCTTTGGCAAAAACTTTGAAATGAGCTGTTCCAGGCCTGCTGAGAGGATGATCGTTCACACTGTGGCTCTCTCCTACCACCTGGTGGACATCCAGGGGGAACCTGTAGGTGAAGAATTGGGGGTGGCCGTTGCTCCCCTTGAAGGTTACGGAGAAGAGAAGATGGATCTGAGGCCCACTGCCAGCTTTGTCACCTGACCAGGTGACACTGCAAGGAGAAGTGTGACATGTGCAATGTGGCCTGCTCTGCACTGGCCCTGAGTTCCTGACACTCGCCCATCCGCAGGATGGAGGACAGCCAGGGCAGATGGGTCTTGGCCACATTGGGCACGTCCCCAGGTCATCGATGTAAGAGAACCAAACAGTGGCTGAGGGATTTCTGATACTTGCCATGGTCTCACGGCTTCCCCCTGGAATGAATGTTCTGATGCTGGGCCAGGGACCTGCTCTGGCTGAAGGCCCTGCCGCATTTGTGGCACTCAAAGGGCTTCTCACCAGCATGAATCCTCTGGTGCAGAATGAGGGCCGCAGCCTCCGGGAAGGTTTTCCGACACGTGCTACAGGTGAACGGCGTGGCACCCGCGTGGGCGCGCTGGTGCTGCAGGAGATGTGTGCCAAGTCTGAAGGCTTTGCGGCACACGTTGCACATGTAGGGCCGCTCCCCGGTGTGCACCCGGTAATGCTCGGTGAGGTGCGACATCTGGATGTAGGCCTTGCCACACTCGTTGCACTTGTAGGGATTCTCCCGGGTGTATGTCCTCAGGTGCAGGGTGAGGGAGGCGCTCTGCGTGAAGGCCCTGCCGCAGTCGCCGCACATGAAGGGCTTCTCCCCCGTGTGGATCTGCTCGTGCTGCGTGAGGACCTTGCTCTGGCTGAAGGCCTTCCTGCATTTTCCGCACACGTAGGCCTGCTCGCCCTTGTGCACCCGCTGGTGCAGGACCACGGCCGAGGAGTCACTGAAGGGCTTCCTGCACTCCCCACATGTGAACGGCTTCTCGCCGCTGTGGATCCTGAGGTGCTGGGTCAGGCAGGAGTTCTGGCGGAAGGCCCTCCCGCACTCTCTGCACACGTAGGACTGCTCGCCTGTGTGCACCTGCCAGTGCTTGGCCAGGGAGGAGCTCTGGCTGAAGGCACACCCACACTCGCTGCACACATGTGGCTTCTCACCTGTGTGTGTCCTCAGGTGCTTGAGGAGGGACGAGCTCCAGCTGAAGGCCTTCTCGCACTCTCGGCACACGTACAGCTTCTCTCCCGTGTGGCAGCGCATGTGCTCGGCCAGCGACGAGCTGAGGGTGAACACCCTTCAGCACACACGGCACTTGTAGGGCCTCTCGCCAGTGTGGCTTCTGTGGTGGATCAGGAGGGCCGAAGAGTCAGTGAAGGCTCAGCCGCACTCACAGCAGGCAAACGGCTTCTCCCCGGTGTGGACTCGCCAGTGATGCATGAGGTGGGTGCTCTGGCTGAAGGTGCAACCGCACTTGCCACAGGCGTAGGGCTTCTCGCCTGTGTGCACCCGCCGGTGCTTGGCCAGCGACGAGTTCTCCTGGAAGCGCCTGCCGCAGTGGCTGCACACGTAGGGCTTCTTGCCCGTGTGGACGCGCCGGTGCTTGACGAGGGACGAGCTCTTGCTGAAGGCGCGTTTGCACTCCCAGCACGCGTACAGCTTCTCGCCTGTGTGGGTTCTCTGGTGCTGAACAAGGTTTGAGCTCTGCCCAAAGGCCTTCCCGCACTCCTCGCACGCGTAGAGCTTCCGCCTGCTGGGAATCTGCCAACAGCTCACGAAGCTCGAGTTCTTGCCCAAGGCATCCTCCCATCTGCCACGCGCCAGCGCGCCCTCCACAGTGTAGACTCCTCGTGGGTGACTAAGGTCTGGGAAAGAGCCATAGGCTTCCGCACACACACCCTCTCCTTGGCAGGGGGGCCCCTGATCGAGGACTGAAACACATGCGAGGCCCTTTTTGTGACTGTGGCCTGTGGGAGCCTGCGGCCCCGGGGGAGCATCTTGATGCTCAGTGAGGAACGGGCCCCAAGGGAACCTTCCTGCAAGGCTCCACTCTGGGCTAATCCCCCCCTGGCTGGGCGTCACTGCTTGGCACTGTCTTTCTGCCACCTGGCCGCCACACTCCGTGACTTCTCTCAGGACGGTGTGCCAGAAATCCTGCCCTGTGAGTCCCATCGTCTGCCCCTCAGGCAGAGCGCCTTTGTCTGGAGGCAGCCGTGCAGCTCGGGACCCAGGCTCTGAGTCTGAAAAACAAGCAAAGAGACATGCTCAAACCCCACTCTGAATGTGCACCGCCAACCTAGAACCTCAGCAGTCAGCCTGGGCCGCCAGGACGAGCTGCTGGCCAGGACGGTGTGGACCTGCGACTTTCAGAAGGGGCTCCCGCAGTTGAGGCAGGGGATGGGGACTGAGGACAGGAGAGTGGGTGGGTGGGGTCCCACCAGGCCTCACAGCACTCAGCAGAGTCGGGCTCACAGCTAGAACTGATTACAGCCAAAGCACGGAGCAATATCAGCAAAGGGGAAAGGTGCGTGGGGCGAGGAGCCCTCTCCCAGGGGAGCCACACAGCACGCGCCCCACTCCTCCAGCACGGGGTTCTGGCAACACGTGGAAGCACTGTCTACCGGGTGAGCTCGTTAGAGACTCGGTGCCCAGGGCTTTAGTGGGGGCTGGCCGTGCAGGTACCCACGCATAGCATGTACCAAAATTCCAGAACCCCAAAAGGAAAGCAGGTGTCCAGCATAAACCACACTGTTCGCATAAATGGTTTAGGCACAGTGAGCCACTCTGATCATTTAGGCAATGGTTGGGACCCTAGAGAAATCCAAGTTTGTCCTAGGCCTTTTCGGGAACGGCAGCCACAGGCCTCCTGTGCTAACCCTTTTCCGCACAGTGGGGAAGGAAAGGGGTAGAGGAACACAGAAAGACAGTGGCCAGGGCCGGCCCTGTGGCTTGGTGGTTAAGTGCGCGCGCTGCGATGCTGGCGGCCCGGGTTCGGATCCCGGGTGCGCATCGAGGCACCACTTCTCTGTCCATCCTGGGGCCGAGTCCCACATACAGTGACTAGAAGGGTGTGCAGCTGTGACATACAACTATCTACTGGGGCTTTGGGGGCAATAAATAAAAATCTTTAAAAATAAAAAAAAAATAAAAAAAAAAAAAAAAAGAAAGACAGTGGCCAAAGCCACCGAGAGCCACCCCACCTGTCAGCTACCGGAGGGGGTGTTTTACAACCAGGCCCTCAGTGGAGCAGGGCCTGGCCAACAGAACGCAAAACAGGTGATCGAACAAACACTTGTACAGGAATGTTCATGGCGGCACCACTCCCAGTAGCCGAAACGTGCAAACAGCCCAACTCTCCACCAGTGAAGAACACATAAACAAAATGTGGTCTATCGACGCAGTGGGATATTATTCAGCCACAAAAAAGAATGAAGGACTGGGGCCAGCCTGGTGGTGTAGTGGTTAAGTTTGCAAGCTCTGCTTCAGCAACCCGGGGTTCACAGGTTCGGATCCCAGGTGCAGACCTAGACACTGTTCATCAAGCCACACTGTGACAGCGTCCCACATACAAAATGGAGGAAGACTAGCAGATGTCAGCTCAGTGACAATCTTCCTCAAGCAAAAAGAGGAGAAATGGTGACAGATATTAGCTCAGGGCCAATCCCCCTCACCAAAAAAAAAAAAAGAATGCAGGACTGATATGCACTACAATGTGGATGAACTATGAAAACATTATGCTAAGTGAAAGAGGCCAGACACAAAAGACCACATCTTGTCTTATATGTCTATATGAAAATACATGAATACATTTATATAAATTCCACTTATATGAAAGGTTCAGAACAGGCAAATCCATGGAGACAGACAGCAGACCAGTGGTTGTCCGGGCCAAGAGAGTGACGGCTGAGTGAGTCTGGGTTTGTTTCTGGGCTCCTGCACCCACCGGCTCTTTCCTGTTGGGTGTACACTGCACCTCCTTGCCCTAGGAGGAGACAGAAACTGACCTACAGTTACAACACAGCGTTGTACACCAGAACTTTCCTAAGAGGGCGGATCTTAAGTGTTCTCACCACAGGGGGGAAAAAACAATAACTATGTACAGTGATGGACGGATTAATAAGCTTGATTGTGGTAATCATTTCACAGAGTATAAAACATATCAAAACACCACTTTGAATATATAGGATTGTTACGTGTTAATTATACCTCAATAAAGAAGGGGGAAAAATTAAATTAAAAAAAAATTAATAAACAGATCTGATCGGGAGACCCTCCTTTCACTCACCTGGACCTCTTGGGGCATCTCTCTCCACAGTCCAGGGGTCTTCCCACTGCTCCAGCTTGGAGATCACATGTGGTTTGGAATCGGGAAGTCCTGCCCATGGCGAGAAGGGAGTAGGAAAATGTTGATATTGTTGCTACAAGTCAGCCAGGGCCAAATAGTGCAGTGCATATGTCCCAGGCATGGGAAAGGTCTCTACCTGGTGATGTGGGGTGGGGCGTTCAGTCTTTGCACCGAGGGGACTCGGCTGGGGGACAGTGGTCAGAGCAAGGACACACCTGGGTATGAGTGGCCGAGGATGAGGCAGGGGATACATATACACACACATACACGCACAAGTAGCATGGATGAAGAGGTGACAGGGAGGCCTCACCCAGGGACACTAGGTTGCTGTAGTTCCTCAGCATGGTGTCGCGGTACAGGATCCTCTGCGTTGGGCCCAGTAGCCCCCACTCCTCCGGGGTGAAGTCCACAACCACGTCCTTAAATGTCACTGGCTTCTGAAACATCCCACATGCACTGGCTCAGCCACGGGCCACGTCTGACCAGAGGTAGCCCTGTGGGGAATGGCAGGATGTGAATGTTCCGGGAAACGCCCTGTTGTCATTGTGGGGGCTCATGCTCTGAGTGGCCTAAGCCAAGAGCTGGCAGTATTATCACCTTGATACTGGGTACCGGGGTCCCACCTAAATGTTTGTATCTCCCCCAAATCCCTATGTTAAGGCCCTAACCCTTAGAGTGAAGCTGTTTGGAGGTGATTAGGTGTAGATGACGTCATGAGGATGGGGCCCCGTGATGGGACTGGTACCCTTAGAGGAAAGGGTAGAGACCAAAGCCCTTTCTCTGTGTCTCCGCCATGTGAGGACAGTGAGAAGGCAGCTGTCTTCAAGCCCAGCAGAGGGTTCTCCCCACAACCCAGCCCTGTTGGCACCCTGATCTTGGACTTCCCACCTCCAGAACTGTGAGAAATAAGCTGCTGTTGGTTAAGCCACCCAGGCTGTGGTATTTTGTTAGAGCAGCCGAGAAGATTAAGACACGGTGATTCCTCATCACTTCCCAAAGTGTTCAGCTTTGCGGCCCCCAGAGGGACAGTTGGACGGCCCTTGCCAACCCCCTACAAAGCCATCTGTGTGGTCTCCATCACCTTCAGGGCCAGGCAGGGGAGGCTTGGAGGCTGGGATGGCATTCGGTGCCAGCCACAACATGTGTCCCCAAACTGGCCTTTAGTGCCCCCACAGAGGCACCCCCAGGCCCTGGCAACAGCCCCTCTGCCTGTGTGTGGCTGTGTCCTTAGGGACCCTGTGGAGAAGGGGCCTGTCAGGAGGCAGCATTGATTTCAGAGTAACTACTCACCATTCTTAACACACAAAGCCCCCACCTCCCAACTAGCCACTCTCAGGGCACCACTCACTCATTCGCCTGCTAACGCCTCCCGGGTGTCTGCATTGCCAAGCCCTGCTCTGTCCCTTTCCTGCATATCTGGCTGATAGACAGAGAGGCCATAAAGAGCCCATGTACCAGATTTGCCCAGATGCAGGGGTTCCTCCAAAGTGCCCTGAATTAGTGACAAGGTCAGTAAGCCCCACCCGGGGGCAGGAGGAGCAGGGGAGGCCAGGGCAGAGGAAGGGGCCCTGCTCTGGGACGCGGGCTCCCAGCGCTGAGGGACAGAAGCACCACAGAAGCGGGGAGAGAAATGAGTGTGCCCGCTGAGACCACGGGCATTTCTGGAAACTCACGAGGAAGGTGTCTGCTGGGACCATGGTGTCTTGGGCCTCAGGCTTGTCCTCCTTGATTCTCCCCTGAGAAGGAAGAGCTGGGGGAGGGGAGGGGAGCGAGGCCAGACTCACCCTCAGCCCCAGAGACACCAGCCCAAAGTCCCCAGGCCCCCCCATCCCCAGGGCCTCATTGCACAGCCCTCCCCTTGACAGCCACTGGCCCCTTCCCCAGGGGCCCTGGCCCCCAGTCCCGACATCCCTACAGGTGTCTCCTCCTGCACTGCCACCCTGGGCCTGCTCCCTCCAGGGCTCAGCCGAACCACAGCCCAACATTAACTCTGTGCCAGGCACGCAGGGATCACCTCCCATCAGCTTGCTTGATCCTCACTCTGTCCCCACGAGGGAGCAATGCTACCAGGTCCATTTTACAGGAAGGAAACTGAGGTATCGAGACGGGAAGGAAAAGGCGGCGTCCACGCGGACAGATGGGGTGACCCGCACCCCCCATAATTAGTCTGGGGACATGGCACCCCACCTGGGCTCTGGTGCAGGGGTACACACAGCCATGGTGGACCTAGGGTGACCCAGGGAAGGACCCATGCTTGGAACAGGAAGCCCTGGGCCTGCGGCTCCACTGTGTGCCACTAACTCGCCATAGCCCTTCTCTGGGCCTATTTCCTTCTGGGTACAGCAAGGACAGGCTCCTGGGAGGACGGGTGGCATTGTGCCATGGAAAGTCTTTGTGAAACGAAACACGACACAGAAACACCTCATGGTGTCCTTGCTGCCCAAGGCCACACCACCTTCACACCCTCCCTCCCCTCCCAGCCTGGGAGCCAGGCAAGAGGTCACTGGGCTCAGGGCTCCATAGAAAGCATTCCTGTGATTTCATGGTTGGAGGCTGGGCCTCAGACACCTGCCTCTAAAACAGGAAACCATCCACGAGCCTAGGCCAAGCCCTTGTGGGCGGCCACAGCCACCTGTGTGGCAGCCCCATGCCACCCCCAGGCCATGAGCTTCTCGAGGCCTCACTGTGCAATGCCAGCCGAGTTGCCTAACGTGAGGACAATGAAGTACTATCATCATCCTCTGTTATACAGCGGGGGAAACTGGGGTACAGAGAGATTAAATTAAAAGTCATGAACAAGTGATGGGCAGGTGGGGATTCAAACCTGGGCAGTCTGACTCAAGTCTGTGCCTTTAAAAAGATTTTTTCAACAGAAGTACGAGTGCTCAGTTCAATGAGTTTTGACGAATGCACACACCATCAAGATCAAGCTCTAGAACCTTCTGTGAGGATGGAAATGTTCTGGGGCTGTGCTGTCTGATTCAGCAGCCATCACCCCACGTGGCTCCTGAGCAGTAGAAATGCAGGTGTGTGACTAGGAAACCGGATTTGTCATTTCAGTTAAGTTTAACTAATTCACATTTCAATATCCACGAGGCTCATAGCTACCATATTGGACAGCTCAGCGCTAGGACATTTCAGCACCATGGACAACCACCACCAGGCACCCCTTCCAGGTAAGGCCCTCCCCAGTCCTGAGGTGATCACTGCTGAGATTTCTGACAGCACACGAGTTTTGCCTATTCTTGAACTTCATACAAAGTGAATTATATGCTGTTTAACAGTCTAAGGTCTTAGCTCCATGCGATCAGGTTTACGGACAGCAGTGGCAGCAGACACTTGTCAGGATGCCTCTTTATGGGGACTGTTTGGGGACAAAGGAGTGAGTGCTCTGAAGAGAGAAAATCGATAGTCCCAGTTGTCCTGAATTCAGGTCCTGACAGAGACTCCCAGGAGGGAAGGGCTGACGAGGGGCCTTTTGCTCCTCCCCACAAGGGTAAGAGTGGTGAGCAGATTCCTGGGGCCCTGATGCACCCAGTGCCCACACCTTCCTCTCAGTGTCGTTCCTAAGCTGGGAACAGAGAGCATGATGGATGAGTGGAGTCTGTCAGATCTAGGATCAGATTCACCTTCACCATTCTCTGCTGGGTGACCTTGGGCTGCTCAATTCCCCTGAGGCCTCGGTTTTCTATCTGTAAAATGAGGTAAAATAGTTCCTCTTGTGGAAGGCTGTTCATTCATTCATTTAACAAATACTCTACGGACTGGGCACCACAGCATGAAACTTATAGTCTACGAAGAATGGGAACAAGTGTAAAGTCTTCAAATGTGGTAAGTGCTAAGAAAACATAATGTGGATGTGTGTGGCACCTGTTTTGGATTAGGTGGCTAGGGAGGGCCTCTGAGGTAGAAGCTAAGCTTGTACCCTATTGAGTGGCAGGCGGGGTGGGGGAGGAGTGTGATGGGCAATGGGAGAGCCGTAGGTGAGGCCTGAAAACAGGCAGAAATCAGGTCATTCAGGGCCTGGAAGGCATGGGAAGGAGTGTGGATTTGTACCAAATTAGGATCAGTAAACTTGGCCACACAGCCTGACCTTGTACAGCCTGTGAACTAAGAATAGCTTTTCCATTTTTAAGTAGCTGGGGGGAAAAATCAAAAGAAGACTAATGCTACATGAAGTTCAGATTTCAGTGTCCATAAATAAAGTTCTGGATTTCATCAGGAAAAAAATGTGTGGATGGGGGCTGGCCCTGTGGCCTAGTGGTTAAGTTTGGCGCGCTCCGCTTCAGTGGCCGGGGTTCAGTTCCTGAGCGCAGACCTACATCACTTGTCAGCGGCCATGCTGTGGCAGCGACCCACATACAAAATAGAGGAAGACCTGTGACAGATGTTAGTTCAGGGCGAATCTTCCTCAGCATAAAAAAGTGTGTGGTGGTGTGTTTTCTCTCGTTAGATAAGCACCTACATGACATCCTTGGTTTTGCCTCCTGGCCTGCAAAGCTGAAAACATTTCCTATCTGGTGCCTTACAGAAGAGTTTGTGGACCCTGCTCTGAGGACCTGGGCAGAAATGGAGGGTTTAAGGGGAGGGGTGGCCGCACCGTTCAGGGTTTAAAGACCCCTCTGGTGCTGTGCAGAGGGCAATAGAGGTGGTAAGGGGAGGCAGGAGACCTGTGAGGAGGTGGTGGCCAGGACTAGGCTGAGGAGAGCAGGGCAGTAGAGTGAAGGCAGCAGGAGCAGGGCATGTTTTGAGGGAGATCTGGTTTATGAAAATGTCCAGCCTTGTGACAACCACACCAACATCCACCTCACCTGGCACCTTGGGCTCCATGGCCTGCCACTCTGCTCTGTCTCCCGCTGCTTGGCCTCAGCAGCTACAGGACGGCGCCTGCGGTCTTAGTCCCAAGCAGAGGTCCCAGGTTGCAGGTGACTCTTGCCGGGATGGATTCCTGTGCCCAGAGCCACTGCTTCCTCCTGTCTACTCCCACACAATGGTCAGGCACTGAGATCCTGGAAAATGGAGTATTGCTCGGTGAACACAGGCAGCAGGAGATAAGTGTGGCCACAGCCATACACATGGGCTCCCCTTGGACAGACCAACTGCCTCATCGCCCAAACTGAAAACATGTCCACACAAAAACCTGTACATGAATGTTCACAGCAGCTTTATTTGGGTAAACAAACTGGCGTACATCCACATAACGGAATATAATTCAGCTATAAGAACGAATGAAGTACTGACATGTGGCACAGCACGGATGGACTTTGAAAACACTATGCTCAGTGAAAAAAGCCAGACACAAAAACCCCACATATTGTATGGTCCCATTTACATGAAATGGCCAGAACCAAGAAAGAAAGTAGATTAACAGTTGCCAGGGGCTGGGGAAAAAAGCGAATGAGCAGTGATGGTTACGGCCTATATGGCATATAGGAACACGCGTGAGGTCACACCTGCACACAGGGGCGTCACACACACACAACACTCCCTCCCCACAGATATGCATGCACAGTGACACACTCGGCGACAGGTACACAACTGGGGTCTCATCTGCACACACAGGTGGTGTCACACATGCAGGACACCCCTCCCCTGTGACACACCCAGCCACACGCACACACCCGAGGTCGCACCTGCACGCACAGGTCGCTCCCCCGCCACCCCCGGCAAGGGCACCCCTGTCCCCGACCCCACAGCCTGGCCGTCCCAGGTTCGCCCTCCCCTCCAGGACCTCCCCGGACCTCACGCTCACCCCGGCCGCCCCGCCGGGACCTCGGACTCACCTCCGCCGCAGTCACGTCAGAGCCACCGGCGCTGCCACCCGCGCGCGCGCCGCCTATGCACATCCGCCAAAGGCACTTCCGGCCTTCACTTCCGCCGAGCGGCCCGCAGTCTGCCCGGGACTTCACCTCCCAGAGGGCTCTGCGCGCCGCGTGCCTGGAACCGGCCGGGCACAGGGTGAATGGCCTCCTGGGAAATGGAGTCCAGAGGGTGACGGCGCCAGAGGGGAGCGTGGGAACTTGTCGGTTGCGCGCGCTGGGCGCACGACGGACCGGACGTGTCCTGATCAGGGTAGTTTTGTGTCTGTTCGGTTAAGTACACAACGCATGTACTTTTTTCTGTTTCTCCTTGCACACATACACGTACACACATACATATATAAGTATATAGTTTGGGGAATTTTCCCCCGAACCCTGTAAATCCTTCAGCAAAAGTCCCCTAAGAACAAGTACATTGTTCCACCCACGCAGGAAACGACCTTGAAACCACGCCGTTATCCATGCCACAGTCCGTATGCTAATTTCTCCCAGTAACGTCGTACGTACATTTTTGTTTTCATCTTATTCACGCCGAAACTAAAGACTCATCTCGAGTTGGCTTCAATCTAGAACGGACTCTCAGCTTTTTTTTTTTTTTTTAAATAATCCCGACAGTTTTCATGAAACCAAGTCAGTTTTCCAAACTATCCTCCAATTTAGATTTGTCTGATTGTTCCCGTATATATAATTTAAAACAATCATAATCAGATTTTACATACTCCTGTTTTTTTCCAGACCCTGAACATTCTCCACTTCATTAAATATTTTTCTAAAACTATTCTTTATTAAATGGCTACATAGTTTTCCGTTATATGAATTTACCATAATTTATTTACCCTCTCTTTTGGATTCTGCACTCAATTCCAACGTTGGGGGGGGGTGTTCCTCCAAACTAACAAGCAATTCTATGACACTAGCTACCCGGAGATATCATCACATCCCACAGGTTAAGGGGTCGGTTCTACCGGACTGCACTCCCCCCATCCCCGCACAGCAGTCGCCAAGTCCAGGTTGTTACCTGGACTGGCTATACTTCTGAGGGACTGGCTATAAATCCAGGTCTCTGCAACCGTCTCCTCGGGTTCCATCAATTCGCTAGAGCGGCTCACAGACTCCAGGAAACTCGTTTACTTACTAAACTGCAGGTTGATTACAAAAGGATATAACTCAGGTACGGCCAGATGGAAGAGATGCATGGGGCAGGCTATGGGGAAAGGAGCACAGAGCCTCCATGCACTCTCCAGGCGCCACAGGCGCCACTTTCCCAGCATGTCCACGTGTTCACCAACCTGGAAGCTCTCCAAACCCTGACCTTTTGGATTTTATAGGGGCTTCGTTACATAGGCACGATTGATTAAATCATTGGCGAGTAATTCAACCTCCCATCAATTAGGAAATTCCAAGCATTGTAGGAGCTCTGTGCCAGAAACGGGGATACAGACCAAATATGTGTTTCTCATAGATCACGATCACACTCTCCCACCCCACCTTTAGCTGGAAATTGAGCTACTATAAACATATGCAATGAATGTCTCTGTACATGCATTTTTCTGTATATCCATGACTCCCTAAAAAAATCAATAATGGATAGGCCCTGTGTGATGCAAATTACCTTCCTTAATTAAGGGACGTCCCTGGATGTAGGACATGAATGTAGGGACATGAAAACTTCACCCATGAGCAGAGGCCTGTGTGACCTGGTGGAGCAGCTGACTCCTGAAGTGCAGGCCCTTCTTCATGCCCACTAGTCAGCTGATCACAAGGGGAATTAAAAAAAAAATTCTCTCAGCCAGCTACCATTAGATCAGCACTGTCCAAAAGAACTTTCTGAGATGATGGAAATGTTCTATTTGTAACTAGTGAGCAGTTGAAATGTGGCTAGTGTGACTGAGAAACAATTTTTAATTTTGGTTAATTTAAAATTACACCTGGGACCGGCCCCGTGGCTTAGCGGTTAAGTGCGCGCGCTCCGCTGCTGGCGGCCTGGGTTCGGATCCCGGACCGACGCACCGCTTGTCGGGCCATGCTGAGGCCGCGTCCCACATACAGCAACTAGAAGGATGTGCAACTATGACATACAATTATCTACTGGGGCTTTGGGGAGAAAAAAGGAGGAGGATTGGCAATAGATGTTAGCTCAGAGCCGGTCTTCCTCAGCAAAAAGAGGAGGATTGGCATGGATGTTAGCTCAGGGCTGATCTTCCTCACAAAAAATAAATAAATAAAATAAAATAAAATTACATCTAAATAGCTACATGTGGCTAGTGACTACCACACAGGACAGCACATTCTAGATGTTCACCTTGGATCTCCTTACAAGAGAACTGGGAGACTGCTTTTCAGACTGGATGCAGATTTCTTCCCAATTACCTTTTTGGGAAAGGACTTGAATATCTCTAAGGATGTGCAAGGAGATATTGAAAATGGGGGTCTTGGCTATTGGCCACAATTTGTGTGTGGGCTGTCATAATTTGGGCTGGCTGATATACGGAATTTAATAAAATAACTTGGAAATTCATATGCTACAAGCAGCTTCCAGGAACCTTCACTGAGTCAAAGCTACTTTACACTCAGCTGGTTCCATTAACACATCCATTTACACGCACGTGTGTATACAGAACAGCTGTGGCCAAGATGCACAGTCACGCAGACGTTTTAGTGGGGGAGACAGACAGTAAATAACGAAACAAATTATCAAACTTTAATTTGAAAGAGTTGAGATTTTTAATTTAAATTTATTTTTTGAACTGGTAATACTTTCACGTTTCAAAATTCCAAAAATATCAGATATAGAGAAAAATTATTCCTCATCCTTTTCCCCCCATTTCTACTCCCCAAGAACAACGACTACGCCTGGTTACTTTGTACCCTTCAGAGATTGTGTGTGTGTGTGTGTGTGTGTGTGTGTAAGCAAATGTTTCCTTTTTACACAAGTGGAAACATACTATACACTGTAGTTTACACCTTTTTTCTTACCAAGGTATCTGAGAGATCTTTCCCACATTAGTACATAAAGACAGGCCCCATTTTTAAGGCTGTGTACCTTCCACCATACATCACTTAGTCAGTTCCCCATGAGGGACAGTGAGATTATTTCCAAATTTTTACTTTTGAAATCAATACCATAGTGAAAAGCATGTACAAACAGTCTGCACATGTACAAATGTATCTGTAGGATTCATTCCCAGCAAGAGGTCTACTGAGACAAAGGGTTTGTGTTTGTAATTTAGATAGCAACTGATAAACTGCCTTCCACAAAGGCTGTATCAATTTATACTCCCCCTGGAAATGTGGAGGAAACCTTCTTATTATAAATAGCAATACACCCTCCCTCCCCACCTTTAGCTGGAAATTGAGCTACTTTTTGGATAAAAGTCAAGGCTGGTAAAGTGCTGGGTGGAGGTCACATTGCTACAATTTTCCTGAAAGTTTATTTAAAAAGCTACATGAAATGCACTGTCAGAGGAAAATGCTCAAAATATAGTAAGAAGTATGTGTCACAAGAGAACTAGAAGGGATTCCAATTTTCTAAACACAAGATAACTACATATATATATTTTTGTGTATCTATAAGATTTAGTGTACACTATATGTACACACACATGTATATTTTAAGAAATAATTACAAGGAAAATTAACAAAATCTTAATGGCAATGACCATCTCTGGATGGTGGGAGTATGAGGGATTAAAATTTAAATATATCTTCATACTTTTGTGTATTCTTTTACTTTTGTGCATCTTTCAGGTTTTGCTACAATTAATTTGCCTTACTTCTATAAACTGATAAAACCATGTATTGCGACCTAGGGGCCTGCCCAGTAGTGCAAGCGGTTAAGTGCAGCACGCTCCGCTGTGGCGGCCCGGGGTTCGCCGGTTCAGATCCCGGGTGTGCGCCGACACCGCTTGTTAAGCCATGCTGTGGCGGCATCCCATATAAAGTAGAAGAGGATGGGCACGGACGTTAGCCCAGGGCCAGTCTTCCTCAGCAAAAAAGAGGAGGATGGGCATTGGATGTTAGCTCAGGCTGGTCCTCTTCACAAAAAAAAAAAAAAGAAAGAAGAAAATGTGACCTGAAACGAACAGTGGAAAATTTGCCGAGATCTCTGACATCGGGAGAGGGAAGTGAGTGCCAACAGTGTTGAGCTTGTTCCCAGCTTACCCAGTGAGGCCATCGTGACCTCGGCCCACCCAGCGTCCACTGTGAGAACTGTGGAAACCTGACCCTTCAGGAGCTGCCATTCTGGGGGCCAAGGTGGAGGGAACGGGGCAATCGAGGCCCAGCCTCCCAAGCTGTCCAGAACCGGGAAGCTACAGCTGGGCCTCCCCCACCAGAGGGCACCAGCCTTTGGAGCATTCCCGAGCCTGCACCCCATACCACTGATGGGACAATGAGGAGGAACGGTCAAAAGTGGGGCTCTGGTGGCTGGGCCAGTTGGTGACACGTCACTTCTTTCCTCAGGGTCATCCTGCCCCAGGAGCGGTAGTGGAAACCGGATGAAGAGAAGAGAGCCGAGAGGTTTAGATGGTGAGACCAACAGGACAGCTGTCTCCTGCCTTCAGGGATGGGCTGATGGACGGCCACATGCCCTATGAAAGGCCCGGGGCAGGGGGACTGGTGTGGATTGGAAAAGGACATTTTGTTCTGCGAAGGCTGTGTTCTTGGAGCTTGTGGCACATCCAGGGGGAGCCGCCCACAGCACACAGCTGCTGTTCCAGCCTTAAGTTCAGAACTCGGCACCCAAGACCAAGATTTGGGAGTGAGCAGTGCAAAGCCACGAGTGTGGATGAGGACAGCTGGGGAGGGTGTGAAGCACAAGATGGGCCCCCAGGACAATGCCCTGGGGACCGCAACATTTAAGAAGAGAGGGAGAACGAGCAGCCCCTCAAAAGGTGGAAGGAATCCAGAAGAGTGCAGCATCCCAGAACGCCAGGGGACTGAGGGTTGTAAGGAGGGCCCGGCCAGCAGGCTGGACAATCCAGCAGGTGAAGAGATGCCGAGGTGGCGGCACCTGACCAGGCAACGGGGAGCACCAACAATTCTTCCAAGGAAAGACCAGACAAGAAAGATGGCAGACGCTGCTAGTTGCCTATCCACCCCCACTTCCCAGACCTCCTCTGCGGGCACAGGTCTCCACCAGAGCTTAGAGAGGCTAAACACTAGCTTTCCGAGGCCCTCGTCAGTAAGGGTGGCCCTGTGAGCTAGCCTTGGCCAATGAGACAGAAGTGGGCATCTGCTAGAGGCTTCTGGAACAGCCTTTTCTTTGAAAGCTCATCAGAGATGAGTGTTGGCCTGCCCTTCCCTGTCTGCTTCCAGTCTTGATTGTGGAGGCAATGGCTGACGCTGCAGCAGTCTTCCTGTGACCATGAGGGAAAGGCTGAGAAATCTGAAGAAAACCCTGCCTCTGACATCAGTGAGCCACTGAATGCACAGCATTTGAACAAAGCCTAATTTGCTTAAGCCACCATTAACTGGGTATTGAGTTCAAAATCTACCTCCACTCCTAGCTGTATAACCTTGGGATGGTTAGCTTTGTTCCAGTTACTAGTTACCTTTGTCCTGTGCCATATTTTCCTTCTATGTAAAATGGTACTACCTCACAGAACTAAGACTGAGGCACTGTCTGTCTCAAAACACCCCTTTTCCCAGCTAGTAAATGAAGGTTATCTGCTAAGAATGAAATAGAAAGTGGTGCAGGCCAAGGTACAAGGACAGAGTCACCGTAAAAAGTGGCAGCTGACAAGGGAAATACGTGAGGACAGGCCCAGAGGACAGGAGGGTGCAGAGCAACAAACCAGGGCCTCGGGGGGTCTTGCAGAACCTCTAGAGACAGGCTGCACAGCTGGCTCTGAGCATCCTGGAAGCCAGCTCTGCCACAATGGAAACTGCATCAGCTGTGACACACAGCATCCAAAGGACAATAGTGGACACGAGAAGTTTGGACTGAGCTCTGACACTCAACCGTGCTGCTCTGGCAGCGAGAGTGCTGATCATGCAGCTCAACTGCCAGAGATCTGCTGCTGTCTCCTTCTAGGACGACGATTCAGCCACTCAGCTCTACGCTCTGCCAACCCAGCACCCCTTCTGCGGGTATTTTTGGGAAACCAATTTCTACAAGCTGAGATGTGCTGTGATCAATTTTCCGTCCTTCCGATTTTTGATGTTTATGGTCTATGTTTAACTTCACTAGGAGGCAACTGCCATGGGAACTGCAGGCACACAAACAAAACGCCGCCATTCTATACAATGGAGCACAGAACTCGGCGCCCCGCGGGACAGGCGTGGCGCTCACCGATAGTCCATGACTTGTTTCATTTTAGGGTAGAAACTGGGCAGTAGGTTTAAAGTCTGGTTTTTTTATCCCTTGTGCTGCTAGACGCCAGGGATCACACCTCATCACAGTGTCCTTCTTTAGCTCAAGAAGAGACAGACAAAATCAGAGAGCTTTGCTTTCCTCAGGAGTCAAGTTGGAGGAAAGCAAGATGATAAGAAGTTTCTGACTGCGGACATTAAAATAGCCATGTTCGAATATCTTGCATCGTATAAAAATAAACCATTTCCTCAGGGGTCTGGCTTTCCCTGGCACTGACAACTGAGACCTCCAGCAGAGACCCCATGCAAGATTTGGAGATGACCTGGAGATGACCTGAGAGGAGAGGGGCTCACACGGTTCACGAGGCCCCTCAGCACAGCCTGGGGCGTGACACCCCATCAAAAGTCATCCCACCAGCCGGAGCGAGGAGGACCTGACGGGCAGGCTCGGGATGGCAACAGCACTTGGGGTACCCTGTTGTTCTTTTCCCCCAAAAAAGAAGAGACTAAAAAAGAAAGAAGAGAGACAGAGAGATGAAGAGACCTAAGAAAAATATCAACCAATGCACTGTGTGGATCTTGTTTAGATCATGATCAGAACAAACCAAGGAGAAAACAAAACAAAGTCATGAGGCAACCTGTGAACACTAGATACTGGATGATATTTTGAGGCATTACTGTTATTTCTGTTTAGATGTGATAAAAGCAATAGTTTTACTTGAGATTTAATAAAATTAATAATTTTTCCTGCTTCATCACATTCCTGTGTGAAACGAGCATTTTTTTCTTTACTGCAATGCCCAGTGAGGAAGAACATGAACACGGCCTGGGGCCTCAGGCCCTGGCAGTTTCACCCACACCCGCTGCTGCCCCGGTGAGACACCAACACGGCCAAAAGGCAAATGACGGCTCAGAATTATTATGAAAATGGCTTTGTCCCATGGTCCAACCTAAGTCTTTCCTTTTAGAGATATATTCACAAGAACAGATGAAATGACATGATTTCTGGGACTGAGGTGAAAATAATCCTGTGGCAGGTAAGGGTACCAGTGAAAATATATTATCTGTGTTTTGCAATGTCCACAATAAAATGCTAAAATTTAGATTACTCAGAAAAATAAGTGGATTCTCTTCTTTTCACCAATTATGAATGCTGCAAAATGGTGAAAAAAAAAACCTGAAAAAACACGTCGTGCATAAACTAGCTAATGATGTCAATTGTTAAAATCAAACATACAGGATTGTTAGTACAGCCCTGATCAATCAATTTTCAAAGTTTGGAAAAAGTTGGCTGCAGTGCTCGGCATGGTTTCTCTACCTTGGCACATTCAGGGAGAGATAATTCTTTGTTGAGGGGGCTGTCGGGCATTATAGGATGTTTAGTAGCATCCCTGACCTCTACCCACTAGATGCCAGTGGTACCCTCCCTTTCCACCAGTCATGACAACCAGAAACGTCTCTAGACATCACCAAATGTCTCCTGGGGGCAGAGCCATCCCTGACTGAGAACCTCTGGTGTACAGCAACACTGGCTGTTCTAAGGCAATGGTTTTCCGCAGGAGCTGTGACACCCCCAGGGAATGCTGTGGGAATTCCTGGGGGCTTCTCTGTCATTTGATTTGGGCACGACTGTGGCTGACGTGTGGGCAGGAGCCAAGCGTGCTCTAATGACTGTGAGGTGCAGAAATGGCCCCTGTACGTATGTGTGAAACAACCTGTTCGTAATGTATGAACTGAGATCCTAAGTCAACTTCACATATTAACACAAATTAGGGCCGGCCCCATGGCTTGGCGGTTAAGTGCGCGCACTCCGCTGCTGGCGGCCAGGGTTCGGATCCCGGGAGCGCACCGACGCACCGCTTCTCCGGCCATGCTGAGGCCGTGTCCCACATACAGCAACTAGAAGGATGTGCAGCTATGACATACAACTATCTACTGGGGCTTTGGGGGGGAAAAAAATAAATAAATAAAATCTTAAAAAAAAAAAAAAAATTAACACAAATTAATTCTTGCATGCTTAGAATTTTATACAGACTCTTCCAGAAATGCAACAGCATTTTGTTTTGTCCAAAACTTTGCAAGAGTTAGTCACCACTTTGGAAAATCACATCCTGTACAGGAAGGCCCCTCACAATATTTCCGTGGCCAACACTAGACCCCGTGTGTCAGATGGCAAGCAAGAGGCAATGCCCGGGATTTCTGGGTGTAACAACACACACAGTCCCTTGGAGAAATACTGCACCAACCCAGGACACTTGACTCTGTCATAAATTACTTTCCTTTTAATTATCTTTTACAAAACAGGGCTGTATACTGATTTTTTGACATTACACGTGTGTAGGCTACAGTACTTATGAATTCATTTCATGGTAATAGACGGAACAGACAAAATATCTGTGGTTAAAGGGGCACTGGGCTTGACAGACTTGAGAACCACCATCTCAGGTGTCATGAAGCACCATGTCCCTAGGACATCAGCGGTCACATTTGACACGTCTACCCATGTACCCCTTTCCGTGAATACAATATGTGGACTTACCACATTTTTGTACCTGTGGTTCAAAAGTCTTCTGTAGAGTTTCTCCCCTACGTGGATTCTCTGATGTCAAATAATACAGATGTGCCCACGGAAGGCTCTTCCACCCCGATAACGTGCACTGGGTTTTTCTCTTGCATGATTTCGTGGATGTCAAATAGGGCGAGCGCACGACTTGCAGGCCGTCCCGCCTTGGTCTCGCCCCCAGGGTTCTCGCCTGAGTGCACGTGCTGATGCTGATGCCGGCTGAGGTGCGAGCTCCGGCCAAAGGGCTGCTCACGACGCCGGCTCCGTCCACGGGGCTCCTCTCTGGTGTGAGTTATCTGGTGCCGGATGAGGTGGGAGCTCTGAATGAAACACTTCCCACACTGATTACACCTGAAGGGCCTGTCGCTCCGGGGAGCCCTCTGGCCTGGATTCAAAGGCGGATCGCAGCCCAGGGCTTCTGCCCACTCGTGCTTGGTTAGAGCTGGGGTCTGCTCAAAGATCAGCCTCTGGCGGCACTCGTAGGGCTTCTCCCCAGCGTGCTTCCGCTGATGCTGGGCCAGGGAGGAGCTGTGCCTGAAGCCCTTCCCACAGTGGTTACACTCATAGGGCCTCTCCTCAGTGTGAGTCCTCAGGTGCAGGAACAGGCAGGTGGTCCTCGAGAAGGATTTCCCACACACGCTGCAGGTATATGGCTTCTCCCCGGTGTGTGTCCGCTTGTGCCGGCCCAGGGAGGAGTTCTGGTTGAAGGCCCTCCCGCAGTCCTGACACTCGTAGGGCTTCTCTCCGGTGTGAATTCTCCGATGGACAGTGAGGTGTGTGCTATGGCAGAAAGACTTCCCACACTCGGCACACTTATAGGGCTTGTCTCCCGTGTGGATGCGCTCGTGCTGAACCAGGGAGGAGTTCTGGCTGAAGGCTTTCCCGCACTCTTTGCACATATAAGGTCTCTCTCCCGTGTGGATCCTCTTATGCACTGTGAGGTGTGCGTTATGGTTAAAGGACTTCCCGCAGTCCGTGCACTTGTAGGGCTTATCCTGTATCTGGCTACGCGCAAGTTCCAAAACAGGAACGGCCTGACTGGAAGCTCTGCTACAGTCGCTGCTGTCACACGGCTGTCCTCCTGAGGAGCCTGTCTGCTGACTGACTAAGCCTGACTTACACTCTGAGTCTGTAACCTGTGAGTCGTAAGTACAGAAACCTTCTCTCCTAGTTATCTCCAGGAATGGATTTAGGTCTGAACTCAGGACACCGTTTTCTCCAAGTCCGAGACTTTTGTAGCCTCCATCTTCAACTGGTGCTTCCTCGAGGCTAAATTCCAATTGCTTTGAATTCTCCTCAGGTGTCTTTACCTGGCCTTCACATTCCCCGTCTTCCCCTAGTGTGGCGGGACAGGGAACATCCCTCAGGAAGCCTTCCCTTTCCAAGACACCAGATGACTCCTCCTCAGGAAGGCCCTGTTCCTTGGGTGGCACTCGGCCTTCAGGTCCAGGCTCCCAGCCTGAAAGAAAACCCAAGAGCTCTGAGAGGTCCTCGGAAAAAACAGAGAGGCCTATGTCCTACCTACATGCCCTGCCTCCAGGCAAATCCCAATTCTGCTCTTATGTTGACACCAAGTGCCCCTTCTGCAAACACAGCTTCACTCATTCATTCTTTCAACAAAAATTTCTTAGGCATCTGCCATGGGTCCAGGTAAATCAGGGGCCGGCAAACTACAGCCCCCAAGCTACAAACGGTTTTTATGTTTTTAAAGGGCTGAAGAAATTAGAAGAATATGTGACAGAGACAGGCAGAATTCTAAAGTTGTCAATCAGGCAGTCACCTAGGTAGTGCTGTGAAGAGATTCTACACGTGACATGAAGGTCACTCACCAGCTGACCTTCAACCTTAAAATAGGGAGAGGATGCTGGATTATCAGGGTGGGCCCAGAGCAATTCTGAACCCTTAAAAGCAGCAGAAGGAGGCAGAAGGGAGAGGCTGGCAGTGCAGAGGGAAACGAGCAGCTTCTCTCGAGGCCGAGAACAGCCCTTGGCTGACAGTCTGCAAGGAAACAGGAACCTCAGTCCTACGACCACGTGGAACTGAATCCTGCCAACAGCCTGAGTGAGCTGCCTCGGATTCTTCCCGAGCCTCCCAATAAGCACCCCCAGCCCGGCTGACACCTTGACTTTGGCCTTGTGAGACCCGGAGCAGACAAAGCAGTGGGTCTGACTGACACAACTGTGAGATCATAAATGTGTGTTGTTTTAAGCAGCAGAGTTCTCGGTAATTTGTTACAGCAGTGACAGAAAACAAATACTGAGATTGCACGCGGCCCGCAAAGCCCAGGTGCTAGGACAAAGCAGTGACCCTGACAGACGGAAGCCCTGCCCTCAGGAGCCAGGGAGGGAGACAGTGAACAGAGCAAGGAAGGAGCAGACTTGGGGGGAGACAAGGAGCCCAGTTTAGAAACCCTAAGTTGGACAGGCCAGATTCCCAAGTGGAAGTGCCCGCATGTCTTCAGGAAACTGTGGGAGGACCAGCCCCAGTCCCGGAATCCTCCAGAACAAGAATGGCCCCTCAAGCAAGCACAGGCTCTCCCCTCCTTATGGTGCAGTGAAGTGAAGGTGTCTTAGTTTCCCATGGCTGCTGTAGCAACTTACCACAGGCTTAGCACCTAACAACGGCACCCACTTATTTTCTTACAGGTCTGCAAGCCAGAAGTCCTACAATCGAGGTGTCGGTAGGCTGCACTCCCGGAGGATCCAGGAGAGGATCGTTGCCTCGCCATTTCCAGCTTCTCGAGGTACCCGCATTCCTCAGCCCTTTCCTTCACCTCCAGAGCCAGCAGCCTAGCATCTTCAAGTCTGTCTCTGACATCACATCTCTATTCCTGCCTCCCTCACACAAGGACCGTTGATTACAATGGGCCGCCTGATAATCCAGCAGAACAGGTTCCGGGGATTAGGACGTGGACATCTTTGGGGGCCAGGCTTCCCTGCTCGCCCCTAGCCCTCGGAAGCCCCCTCACCTGCTGGAACTCTGTCCACAGCACACTCTACATATTCATTCACTCAGGATCCATCTCACCACACCAGTTATGTCCACAGCCAGCACCTAGAGCTGACAGGTAGCAGGTACTCAAAAATACAGGCTTCTGACAGAGGGAATGACCAGGAGCTGGGCTGGGGGAGAGGTGCTGGGGGAGCCAAGGCTGGCCGGGTGGCAGGCCCCTGCTCTCGCTCGCCTCTGGCCCCCAAACTGGACTTTCCACCCAGCACCCAGAGGGATCTTATAAAAACACAAGTCAGGGGGCCAGCCCGGTGGCACAAGTGGTTAAGTGTTCGCGCTCCGCTTCGGCGGCCTGGGGTTTGCAGGTTTGGATCCCGGGCGTGTACCGACGCACTGCTTGTCAAGCCATGCTGTGGCGGCGTCCCATATAAAGTAGAGGAAGATGGGCACGGATGTCAGCCCAGGGCCAGTCTTCCTCAGCCAAAAGAGGAGGATTAGCATCGGATGTTAGCTCAGGACTGATCTTCCTCACAAAAAAATAAAAAAATAAAAAAATAAAAATACACGAGTCAGTCCACACAAAAACTCGTGCAGGAATGTTCACAGCAGCACTATTAATAAGAGTCAAAAAGTGGAAACAACCCAAATGTCATCAACGGATGAACAGATAAATAAATGTGGTCTGTCCACACAACAGATGTTACTCAGCCATAGAAAGGAATGCAGTACTGATTTGAGCCTCAACATGACTGAATCTTGAAAACACTATACTCATGAAAGAAGCCACACATACAAGGCCACATAGTGTAAGATCCCACCTAAGTGGAATATCCAGAATATGCAAATCCACAGACCAAAACTGGATGAGCCGTTGCCAGAGGCTAGGAGGAACGGGTGACAGGCAGTGATCGCTTTGTGATATTGTCATGTAATTCGAAATATATATTTGGTCTTCATCCTGAGTTCCTAGCACACAGCACCTAAAACCCTTGGAATTTCCTTGGAAACGGGTGAGAAGAACGTCATTTGTGCTTCATAATAAGCCCCCATCAACCATGAGTTTATGCTAATGAGGTGACTCTTGGAGGTCCCTGGGTAGCTTCAGGATGGCAGCTGGTAGCCAGAGGAACCAACCATGTGATTAGGGGGTTGGAACTTTCAGCCCCACCCCTGACCTCTGGCTGTTCATTTGTATCCTTTAAAATATCATTTATAATAAATCAAGAAATTTGTTTCCCTGAGCTCTGTGAGCTGTCCTAACAAATTACTGAACCTGAGGAGGGGTTGTGGGAACCCCCAACTTATAGCCAGTTTGTCAGAAGCCTGGGGAGCCCTGATTGACTGATGTCTGAAGTGGGGTGGTCTTACGGGACTGAGTCCTCAAGCTGTGGGGTCTGTGCCAACCACAAGATAACTGTCAGAACTGGACTGAATCACTGGACACGCAGCTAGTATCTGGAGAGTTGGAGAATTGGTTGTCAGTGTGGAGAAAACCCACACATTCAGTGTCAGAAGTGTTCTGTGGGTAGAAACAAATCATAGTGCTGCTAATGGGTGACTTTTGGGGAGATGCAATGTTCTGGAACTAGACAGTGGTGATGGATAAGCAATCTGTGAATATACTCAAAACCACTGAATTGTACACTTTAAATGGATGAATTCGGGGCTGGCCCCATGGCGTAGCGGTTAGGTGAGTGTGCTCCGCTGCTGGCAGCCCAGGTTCAGATCCCGGGTGCACACTGATGCACCACTTGTCAGGCCATGCTGTGGCGGCGTCCCATATAAAGTAGAGGAAGACGGGCACGGATGTTAGCCCAGGGCCAATCTTCCTCAGCAAAAAAAATAGGAGGATTGGCAGATGTTAGCTCAGGGCTGATCTTCCTCACAAAAATAAATAAATAAATAAATGGGTGAATTCTATGGCCTGCTCAGACCAAAGGAGCCAGAAGGGGCTGGCCTGGCAGGAGTCAGCTCAGGACCCAGGGGTCCAGGCCAGCAGTGGGGGCTGGAAGCTGTCAGATGTGTGGGCGCTGTAGGCTCCACAGCCCCAGAGGAGACGGTCACCTGCAGTCCTGCATCTGCTGCAGACACACCGCCCACACCGGGGCAACGGGCCACCTGTGATTCCCTGGTGATCAGAAAGCCCGGCAGCAGAAGGCGGGGCCGCAGGCGCTGCTGGTTGGGCATCCCGTGGCCATTAGCCCACTTCTCGAAAAATGTGCTCAGGGTACCAACGCCCCAGCCCTAGGGAAGGGACTGCGCCTGCATAAGCCAATATGACAATCCAGACCCCCTTTCCAGCCTCCCTAGCAGTTGGGGTGAGGGCAGGTGGATGCGACCCAGTCCTGACCAAGGAGACCTCAATGGACAACATCCGAAGTTCTGATAAAACAGGACAAATGTGACTGGCACCATTGTTCCCAATTCCCTCTCCCCCTGCCTGGAACACAGATGTGATGGTCAGAGCTGTGGCAGCCACACCATAATCCCAAGGAAAGGGCAGAAAAATCAGATCCTCAGCCCTGGCATCAGCGGAATGCTGAGCCAGCAGTGGCTGCCTCTGGGTTCCTGCTTTGTGAGAAAAATGACTCTCTCTGTTTGAGCTGCTCTACCACAGTTTTCAGGTATTTACAGCTGAACACAATCCTTATTGCTAAGAGAACAGAAGGGTGTGGGGAACCGATTTACAGAATGGGGCAGGCAAGAAGGAAATGGAGAAGATGAAGGGCAAGTTCACACATCAGAAATGGTCCTGTGGAAAGGGCCTGCTGAGAAGGCTGGTGAGAGAGGGAATATGAAAGGGAGGAAGGGGCAGGATTCTGACCCCTGGAGAAGAGGTGGACGGCCTCTGAGAAAGGGGAGCACACGTGAGGAGGCCATGGAGCACAGCGAGCACTCCAGGCAGGGGACTAGAGCACAGGGCCCAGACCCCCTGTGCAGGGAAGAGCTGACAGGGCGGCCCGAGGCTGCTGTCCTCAGAGGGCCAGCTTTCAAGGTTGGCCTTGGCTAGTTTGGGAACTTGGATTTCGGGAGAGTTCCCACCACCCTAACTTATAAGAGCAGCTCACTGCGCCCAAACTTTTTGGACCAACAATATAGTTTATGGCGAACATCTGCACTCTCCTGGGGGTCTGGAATCGTGGTCTGTGCCAGGCAGGGAGTGCCAACGTGACCAGCCTCCAATAAAAACCCCTGGCAGAGCCTCTAACAAGCTCCCCTGGTAGCCAGCATTTCTCCCGTGTTGTCAACAGCCACTGCTGGGGAGGACACAGCTCGTCTGGGGTGACTCTGCCAGGAGAGGACTTGGGAAGCTTGCGCCTGGCTTCCTCTGGACTTCGCCCCCATCTGCCTTTTCCCTCTGCTGACTCTCCTCTATCCTTTCGCTGTAATCTCTGGGTCGGCAGGTGGTCTCGGGGACCCCAACACACCACCCTTTCCAGGCAGCCTGTCTGCCGTCACTTCCTGGGCTGCCCCTATTGAGGGTCCTGCTCGGAGGGTCTCACCTGGACAGCAGCCCCGGGCAGTTCCTCTCTCCGCCACCCACAGCTCAGCCCCTTGCTCCAGCTGGGAGATGACGTCGGGTTTGGGAAGCTCAGGCCCTGGAAACAGGAAAGACACAGGATATGGGGTCTGCTCTGGGGAGAAAGAACCAGCCCGGCTCCAGCCCTAGACTCCTGACCACGGGGATGCAGAGACGCCTCCCAACAAGGTGAAGGCTCTGCACTGGGACAAGAACTCCCCTGCCTGCATGTCCCACAGGGAATGAGGACCCAAGGTCCCTAATACCCAGCCCAAGGTCAAGCCCTTACACCTCAGAGGCCCTATGACCCACGACCCACAAAGAATAAGTCACCACAGGAATCTGATCGTCAGCTCGGGAGGTGGGGCTTACCCACAGAGAGCAGGTGACCAAAGGTCTCCAGCATCACGTCCCGGTACAGGGTCCTCTGGGCAGGGCCCAGCTGCCCCCACTCCTCCTGGGTGAAGTCCACAGCCACGTCCCGGAAGGTCACCGGCTCCTGAAACATCACACACACTCTCGATCAGGTGAACCGTCCCCACCAGCACTCTGGGGAACAGGAGGAGGAGTGGGGAAGAAGACGGACAGGCTGGTGTCCTGAAAGAGTGCACGTTCTGAGTGAGGCGAGTCAGGTCTTACCCGGCACCTACTGGGCTGCTGCATGCAGGTGTGAGCTGTACCACGAGGGCACGTGACAGGATCCAGGCAAGATCCAAGCCAATCACAGCTGACCTACAACTGACCTCAGACAGGTGTGGGGGCCACAGGCCAGAGACCAGTCCAAACTGCTGACTCATAGATTTGTGGGCTAAAGAATGGTTACTGTTTTAAGTCATTATGTTTTGGGATAGTTTGTTACACAGCAACAGTTAACTGATACACTAACTAATCCTCTGATTCAAAGCAAGGCCCATCATCCTCCCTGAAAAGAGGGGTGTTCAGTTAAGAGTCAGAAACCCACCTGCCTCCAGGGACTGAGCAGGCTCACAAGCCACTGAAGCGGGCCAGCATAAGAGCCAACAAGGGCACTTAACCTGGGAGAGGCGGCACTGTAGGAGATGGGTAATATGTGCTCTGTCTGAAGTGGCAGCCGGGAATCAGAACCATCTGATCATGGGGAAACACAGGCCCCGTGTCATCAGAACTGCCAATCTCTGGTGAGAAGCTAAAAATTAGCTCATGTTTTTATGTGAAAACTTTCAATTTTTATAAGTTGATGCAATATATCTAAAATGTGTCCCACAAATGAAACCCTTCTCTGGGCTGGCTCTGGCCACGGTCGAAAGCTAGATATTTCAGGATCAGAGGTCTGGCTCTGCCACTTCTTTCTCAAGAAGCACAGGGCAGGTATCCACCTCTGCCTCCTTGTTTCCTTGTCTACAAAGAATCACTCCTTGGGAGCTGTGATGGGGATTAAGCGACTGTAAAACACTTCCTACAGGACATGTGAATAGCCACACTCAAAAGAGTAAAGTTGGTCCTGTACCTCAAACCACATATAAAAGTTAACTCAAAATGGATCAAAGGGGGCCGGCCCGGTGGCACAGTGGTTAAGCACACACACTCCACTGTGGTGGCCCGGGGTTTGCGGGTTCGGATCTCGGGCGCACACTGACGCCCTGCTTGGCAAGCCATGCTGTGGCAGCATCCCATATAAAGTGGAGGAAGATGGGCATGGATGTTAGTCCAGGGCCATTCTTCCTCAGCAAAAAAAAAAGAGGAGAATTGGCAGATGTTAGCACAAGCCTGATCTCACAAAAAAAAAAAAAAAAAAGAGAGAAAACATAGATAAATATTCATAACCTTAGATTTGGCAAAAGATTCTTAGCTATGACAGCAAAAGCACAAGCAACAAAAGAAAAAAATAAATAAATTGGACTTCATCAAAATTAAAAACTTTTGTGCTCCAAAGGACACTATCAAGAAAGTGAAAAGATAACCACATAATGGGAGATAATAATGGCAAATCACATATCTGATAAGAGACTTGTATCTAGAAGATACAAAGAACTCTTACAACTCAATAATAAAGACAACCCCACTAAAATGGGGAAAGGATCTAAACAGATATTTCTTCAAAGAAGATATAAAAGAAAATATACAAATAGTGAATAAGCACATGAAAAGATGTTCAACATCATTAGCCACCAGGGAAATGCAAATCAAAATCACATACTAAATACCTCAATTTTAAAAAGGTATTTTCTTTTAAGAAAAAACACAATTAAAAAATATTAAAGAAATTACAGTATAGTGGCATGTGACTCTGACAAAAACCATGCAGGAAACATGCAGAACCCTTTGGTTGGAAATAGAGGTCTCTACTCCCATCCCTGTATCCTCACCTCCCAATCAGAAGGTCCTCCAACCCTGACACCTGCTCCCTGTGCCTCCTGCCCCCACCCATCACCACCCACGGAGCACGGGTTGCCAGTGACAGCCTAGGCCCTGGGTCCACATGTACTGGTCCACCCAGGCCATGGGACCTCTCAGTGGCATCGCATGAGTCCTTCATGTCTCCTCCTGGAATTCCAGCAAGAGCCTACTCCTTGCTGCTCCACCTCAGACCAGACCCCTGCAGCCCTCCTCCTGCTCTGCACTGTGGGGGCCTGGAGGGATGGGCTATGACAGACCCCTCTCCTCCACACTCTCTCCCACAGTGGACTGGCACCCTAGCCTCAACCAGCATCCCAGTCACTGGGCCCCCCGTCCCCCTCCCAGTGCCTTAGCTCTCAGTATCGCTCCTACCCCCATCCCTCAGATGCCTGAATGGTTTTTCTCAAACCCATGCTATTACTGCTTAAAACATTTGAATGGCTCCTTCTCACCTTTGAATACAGGATGACCCCTTTCATCCTGGCTATGGTTGGCTGGATAATGGCCCCCAAAGATATCCGGATGCTAGTTCCTAGAACCTGTGAATGTTACCATAAATGGCAAAAAGGACTGTGTGGATGTGATTAAAGATTTTAAGATGGGGAGAGTACCCTGGATTATCCAGGTGGGCCCTAAGTGCAATCACAACTGTCCTTCTAAGGGGAAGGTAGAGTGAGATTTAACTACGAAGGCAGAAAGCAATGTGACTTTTTTTTTTTTTTTTTTAAGATTTTATTTACTTATTTTCCCCCCAAAGCCCCAGTAGATAGTTGTATGTCGTAGTTGCACATCCTTCTAGTTGCTGTATGTGGGACGCGGCCTCAGCATGGCCGGAGAAGCAGTGCGTGGGTGCGTACCCCGGACCGAACCTGGGCTGCCAGCAGCAGAGCGCACGCACTTAACCACTAAGCCACGGGGCCAGCCCATGAACCTTCTTCTCAACTAGGCCTTGACCTTTAGGCTTCCGCACCCATTTTTCCATCACCCAATTTTACCAAAAATCTGTCAAGTCAGTTTAGCCAGAATCCCCACCCTCCATACCTGATCATTCTTGATATCCTTTCTAAGCCCTCATCCCCCACAATCCTCCAGGTAATATCTTACACTTGGCCTGCTTCAGCTAGAATCCCATTAGGTCAGTTTAGCAAGAATTACCTGCCCCCCACACTATAAATCCCCACTTTTCCTTGTTGTATTTGGAATTGAGCCCAGTTTTATACTGAGGTCTCTTTGCCCCTTATTGCTGAATAAAATCTGCTTTTACTGCATCAACTACTGTTCAGCTCTGGTTTTCTTTGACACTGCTCACTCCCTGCCCCACCCCCATCCACAGCAAAAGCAAACTACAGTGTGGGTGCATTTCATGAAAATCTGCAATAACACACATCTGAAAACGTGCAAATCTAAGATTAACAATAGTTTAGCTTTGCGTACCAAATCTGAAATAACGCAACCCCCACCCCCCCCACCCCCGCAAACAACAAAAAAAGACAAGAAGTACATAATTTCAAAGATGCCGAGCTTCGCGAATGATGAATTATTTTTGGTTCCTGCCACGTGGAGACACCTCTGGAGAACACAGGCAGCGGCCACACTGTCTAGAGTTGCTGGAGCTTCCCAGATGGCCTTGCAAGCACTGACCGCCCTGGACTGCGGTTCCCACGGCCCCGCGTGGGGGGACCCGGGTAGTCGTTCCCGCCCCACTAACGCGGTGCATGGTGACCCGTCCTTACCTCCCGGGGTTGTGCCTCGCCCCCAGGCAAGGGGTCTTGCAGGGCGGGGCTCTCGGTGGGGGTCTGCCGACTCCGTACATTACGGTATCTCTACTCCATGACACTTGCTATCTCCGCGCCCAGCCGACGCTATGGTTACTATTGCCGTCATCACGGTGGTCGGCCTTTGGGGCGGGGGAGGGGCATTGCGGGAGCGGGGCCACCCTATCCTCGGGAACGACCCTAAGCCGCATCCGAGAACGGCGGGGGAGTGGAGGGGTGGGGCCGGTACCAGCGGAGCATGCGCACTCGGGGACCAGAGGGCCAGGGTTCGAATCCCGACTCCACCCCTCAGCATCCGGGCCAGTCGGCGCGCCCGGACTGCGCCTGTTTCCCCGTGTGTAAAGGGGTATAAGGTCCGTGCCCTGCTCACCGTGCGCTACGAGGGTTAAGGGTCACTATCTGCGGGAGACGCTTGGCCCGGGGCCCGCTGCCATCGTTGTTATTATTACTATTGTTACCTGAAGCCGTTCCGCCGGCAGCCCTGTAGCCATCGCCAATGCCGCCGCTCCCTCCTCGGGGTCCATCCTGGAAGAACAAGTCGAGGACAGGCGCCCGAGACGACCCTAAACCCGACAGCCTCCCCCACCACAAAACCCGCTGGACTCACCGCCTGCACAACAATGGCGGCCGCGCAGGAGACGCTGCGACTACAACTCCCAGAAGGCCGTGCGGCGTGCCGCAGCGCCCGGCCAATGGAAGCCTTCGTTCGTCGAGCCTTCGACCAATGGGAGCCTCCGCTCGCTTGTTCTTCAGCCAATGGAGGCGAGCTGGCTGTCGGCCAATGGGGGCGCTCAGGCCGCTGGCCCGGGCAAGGCGGTCCTGGCTGGGTGGGGCCGGACGCGACTGCGGCTGCGATGCTCCGTGGGCGGCGGGTAACCTGCGCTTCCGTCCCTGAAAAGGGCGCGCGGCGGGCTCCGAGGGGACCCGGATGGTAGGAGATCTTCTTCCCAGCCTCGCACTTGAGGGTCCGCGTCAGCACGATGCGGCGGCGCGTTGATGGCGGGCAGGCGGACAGCGTCCGGCAGCCTCTGCCCGCGCGTCCACCTCAGAATGCGGTCTGTCCACACTGGAGTGGGAGCCGCTGTCTCTGACCCCGCATCCACCTCAGAATGCGGTCTGTCCACACTGGAGTGGGAGCCGCTGTCTCTGGCCCCGCATCCACCTCAGAATGCGGTCTGTCTACACCGGAGTGGGGGCCGAGCCTCTGTCCCGGCATCCACTTCAGAATGCCGTGGGTCCGCGCTGGAGTGGGGGCCCGGGCTTGAAACCCCGGGGCCTGCGCCTCCCAGCTGGACATGCACAGGGGCAGGCCTGGGGCTTCCCTGTTTTACTCTGCCACTGCACCTAAAGCATATTTCTATGCACCAAAATTGCATGAACATTTAACATTCGTTAATGTATTAGATTTTGGAGGGCTAGTGACGGAAGGGGGCATGGAGGGTTTCCGAGAGCTGATCACGCTCTGTTTCTCAATTTGTGCTGTTCCCTTTGCAGTGTCTCATTTCTGTGGGTCTGTTAGAGGCCATTAAAAAGTTTATTTAAAGAGATGAAGGAGGAGCCGGCCCGGTGGCGTAGCGGTTGTGTGTGCGCGCTCCGCTTCGGCATCCCGTTGGCAGAATCGGATCCTGGGCGCGGACCTAAGCACCGCTGGTCAAGCCATGCTGTGGCGGTGTCCCATATAAAGTGGAGGAAAATGGGCACGAATGTTAGCTCAGGGCCAATCTTCCTCAAAAAAAAAAAAAAAAAAAAAAAAAGGAAGGAAAAAGCAGATGTTCACCAGGATGCAGTTGAGCCATAACAAGTATTTGATCATTTACTGTGTGCTAGGAACAGGGCACACGGCAAGGGAGTGAACAGAGATACTCTCCTAACCAGCTCCCCGCCCCACGTATGGTGTAGAGGAGGAGACAGACGATAAATCACCAACGTGATAAAGGGGTGGACGACAGTCGTCACTGGTAGGGATGGAGCAGCTGGCTATGTCCACACTCTCCCATCCCTGCCCTCTCTTCTCTGCCTCTCTCTTCCTCCCCTACAGTCCAGCAACTGCTCTGCTCTCTGCTGGGCATGTCCTCTGTCACCCTGCGCAGGACCCTCCCCACAGAGTCAGCAGTACCAGGAGGAGCATATGTCAGGCGTGTTCACTCACCTGAGCAGGTGGCAGCAGCTGCTGTGGGAACCGTGGATCACCCAGCCTCCAGGAGACCAAATCTGGCCTCTACTGGGAGCCCAATGAAATTTCCAGGCAGTATTCCCTTCTTTGTGGGCAGAGAAGGTCCCGGGAGGGTATATTGCTTTCCCCTTAGCAGCAGTCCCCCAGAGGGTGGAGAAGGTCTGAGGTTGGGGTTGCGGGGTAGATCTATTATCTTCTCCTTAGGAGCAGCCTGTGTATTTATTCTGGATTCAGTCACTGGGCTCAACTTTCCTCCTGGTTCTAATGGTGCTGAATCTTCGATGCATGATGTTTCCCTATTGTTTTAATTTTTTCTTTCCTACTACTTGTAGTTTTGTTTTCTCCTTGATTGTATTATAGGGTTTTGTCTATTGCAGTAGTTCTCCAAGTGTGGTCCAGGGAAACCATAGGGGTTCCTGAGATTGTCTCTGAGTCAGTGAGTTCCAGACCACTTTTTTTTCCCACTCCCATTTTCTCACAAATGTACAGTAGAGTTTTCTGGTTGAGTAATATTGCAATAGATTGAAGGTGTTAAAGATAAACAAAGCTGGATATTAGTTAAAGTGGTGAAAACAGATTTTATTCAGTAACTGCTGACAGTAAGGAAAAGAGCTGAGCTCCATTTGAGTTTGTGCAGAGGTAACTGGGCATTTTAAAGTGAGAATGAGGGAATCGGAAGCAGGAGAGAGTGGGGGCTTGTGAAAAATTACAAAAGGTTGGTCAGTGTAAATATGATTAGGCCAGCTGTGTCTGCTAGCTGGCAATTATCAAAGTCAGGATTCTATTCTCCCACAGAGACTGGAGACAGAGCCCCTCTCCTTCCTGATGATTATGTTTCAAAGGAATGGCTTTCAGGTCCCTGAGAAAGACACTTCTGAGTTGTAGGAGACACATAGACATCTCAAAGGGACAGAGAAAGGATTCACAATTCTAAGCCCTGTTTAGTAAATGCTCTCAGAAAGGGAGGTCAGGGGCCTATTCTCAGGTGTTGGCTAGAACAGCAAATTCTCCTGGCAGCATTTCTCAAGCAGGCATTTTAATAGGAGGCTGGGGTCTTCCTAGGAACACAGCCTCATGCTTCTAGAAGGCATGCTAGAGTTTGGTCGTCTCTTAGTACAGAGGTTCGGACTGAGTTCTTATGTGCTGAGAGTTCTACAATTCTCAAAGGCACAAGGAGCTATGGAAATCCAGCTGCCCTCAGTCAAGCCAGACATTAAAAAGATTTGAAAAAATATAATGCCACTAATCACCATTTTTTTTTTTTTTTTGGAAAATGTAGTTACTTTCCATAAAGTAGGTTTTATTTATTTATTTATTTTTAAATTTTATTTATTTATTTATTTTCCCCCCAAAGCCCCAGTAGATAGTTGTATGTCATAGCTGCACATCCTTCTAGTTGCTGTATGTGGGAC